TTTAGATTACTAAGGCTAAAAAGTAGTTTATCAAAAACTCACTTTTTACGACATTCGGCACCGTGCCGGTTTATCGCGAAACTTCGACAAGTCATAACTTCTTCGTTATAACTCGGATTTCGGCATTCTTTATATATCTGTAATCCTTGTCACGCCCACTACAAGTTTCTTAATAGATATCGACTTTATCTAAAATTTAATTTTTGACGCTCATTTTTATTCTTAATTAATTAAACCCTAATAATTAAGCATAAAACACATAATATTCACATAATTCCTTTTCATTTCTTCAAAATGAGTCACAAAGGTTAACCTAGACTATCATGTCAATATAATGCCTAGCCTAGAAACACGGGCATTACAACAACCCACTACACCCACACATACCCACGCCCAAGCCCCCCCCCCCCACACACACACAAACACACCCACCCCCACCCCTACAAACACACACACACACAACCACAAACACACACACACACAACCACAAACACACACACACACAAACATACATACACACACCCACCCCAACCCCCACTCATACCTACACCCCCACAAACACACACACACACACACACACAAAAACACACCCACACCCACCCCCACCCCCATAAACACACACATCCACACACACACACACACACACCCACCCAACACCACTACCACAATCACCGCCTACCATTACCATCACCACCACCACTCATACCTACACCCCCCCCCACACACACGCACACCCACACCCACCCCCACCCCCATAAACACACACACATCCACACATACACACCCACCCAACACCACTACCACAATCACCGACCTACCATTACCATCACCACCACCACTACCCCATCACCACCGCCGCCGCCACCACCACCGTCGCCATCATCGACACCACCACTGCCCCCGCCCCCACCCCCACCTTATCACCGCTACCGTTTTTTAAAAATGAAAGCCGATAGAAATATACACATCTAAACGTATTTTCTAATTTTCTAAAACTGAAAATGAAAAATGAATAAGTTTTAACTAAACGCGTTTTCTAAATTTTCCAATGAAAACTGAAAACTGAAAACGAAAAACGAAAACTGAAAAGGGAAAACGAAAAACAAAAAATGAAAACTGTTTTTCCGTAACTAAACGCAACCTAAACTGTTCATGCTAATGTTTAATTTTCCATATTTGATCTTAGAACCCTACCGATTTCTTGCATGTTTTTCATGTAGCCATGCTATCTTTTTCAGCTCGATCTAATGTTGGAATGAAGTTCAAATTTTAGCAGACATGAAAAATATGTTTAAGTTATTCATAGTGTTCATAGTTTCGTCGGAATATTCATATATTCTCTAGAAAATTTTTGTATTGGGTGGAAAATTCATCTTGACCGGCTAAACCTACAATAGCCGGTCATAATGGTATTTTGTGAACATAAAAACAAGCTCAATGATAGATAAGGTATAAAAAATGAATAAATGTGAACAAAAATGATAGCTCGTTACACACACACACACACATATATATATATATATATATATATATATATATATATATATATATATATATAACTTTTCCTCTTTTCCTTATAAATCTAGCACCCATTTGCTTCTTTATCTCCTAATTTATAAGAACATTTTTTTCATCTTAAAGTTTCAAAGACGAACCTTAAATTGAATAAGGAATTGAGTTTGGGATGAAAGTGGAAAGTGGAACCATGTAACATGAACTGTTAAGAAAATCCGAGATAGGATATCTTTCAAAGAAAATGAATTTTAATATAATGAGAATGAAGAATGTACGAAATTGTTGTGACAAAACATTTTTTATAAAAATAAATGTAAGATGACATAATTATCTTTTATCAATTTGTTCCCCGTGGGCATCATATTCTTATTTCACATTAAGAAAACACATCGAAACATCCGATAGTTGCTAGGTGACATTTGATATAATGAAATATAAATAAAAGAAAAATCTTACAAACTAAATTAAGATATATGTATTAATTGTCATAAAATAAACTTGGGTTACAAACTTGCTCAAAGTGGAGTGTTTGCATTTTGTATTTAAACTAAACCAAAACAATAAAACAAAAAATACATTAGTTATTTAAGATGACAGTGCATTATGCACTTACATTACATATACTTCAACATGCCTTCTCATATTTTGATCTTAATACGCATATGCCGCATTTGTTCTATTTGTCTTATGATTTATATGAGAAGGTTAAACCAATAATGAAATATAACAATTTTAACACGTATCACTTACAAGTTGCAATATCTACCTTTTCAAAAATAAGTTTGAATATACATACATCATTATCTACATTTCATTTTTACTAAAACTAGTTGTAATCATATATTACAAAATACTATTACTTCACATTACTATAATAGAAGTCGGTTTGTATTGTTTGAAAAAAAAAGTTAGTTTGTAAACGAGAAACAACCTTAAACCCTAATTATCTATTACAAAACTATCTTTTAATTTAATTTCTATCGACCAAGGGTAAATATGTCATTTATCAACACCTCGTGCTATTACACTAATCTGTAAAATAATATTTTGTGTAAATTCCAATGACAATCTCATGCATTCTCACATACAAGCTAAAAAGACACAAATACCCTTCACATGATATCAATACCCAAATGTGCAATATAACAACCTACTTCCAACTTCTCTAACCACACAATCTCATTCATTCCCATCTAGACGCTTAAAAGACAAAAATACCCCTCACATGATATTAATAGATGAAAGCACACATTATGTCAATAATTCAATTAAAGATACCTGTTGAAAAAGATGGTCTTAATTTCTATAAATTAGAGTGAAAGTGTGAAAAACATCACCTCATAATTTCATATCTTCCTCTCAATTTCACACACACATTCCAAAAATGGTAAGTCTTCACTTAACCAACATCATCTTATTATATTATATTCATACTTGATAGTTGATACTACTACTAATTCATGTTTAAATTTACCATTTTAACAGGTTTGTTCTACTTCTACGAATGAGAATGAGAATGAGAATGAAGAAGATGAATGTGTAGATTTCAAAGGGAATCCTGCTGACATGTCCAAAACAGGTGGATGGGTTGCAGCTGGACTGATTTTAGGCACTGAACTCTCAGAGAGAATCTGTGTGATAGGAATAGCAATGAATTTAGTAACATATCTCCATGGATCTTTGCATCTTTCTTCATCAAAATCTGCAAATATTGTCTCAAACTTCATGGGCACTCTCAATCTGCTTGCCCTTTTTGGAGGATTCATAGCAGATGCTAAAATCGGCCGTTTCTTAGCCATCCTTATCTTTTCATCTATTTGTGCTCTCGTAAGTTTCCAAATCACCATTTTACCCTTACATTCCATGAACATCATTAACTAAATATTTTAAGAAACATCCCCTATGTTGAATTGAATTTTGAATTTTGAATTTTGAACCAGGGTATGGTGTTACTGACACTAGCAACCACCATCCACCGCCTGAAGCCGCCATCATGTGAGAACTCAGGCGGGTGGAAATGCATAGAAGCCACCGGAAGTCAACTGGTGATGCTCTACATAGCACTTTACACGGTGGCACTGGGTGGTGGTGGGATAAAGTCAAATGTCTCAGGGTTTGGGTCTGACCAATTTGACAAGTCAACACCCAAAGATGAAAAGAAAATGGTTTTACTTTTTCAACAGGTTTTATTTCTGTATCAGTGTTGGATCTCTTTTTGCAGTGACTGTAATGGTTTATTTACAAGATAAAAAAGGTTGGGGGTGGGGGTATGGGGTGTCTGCTGGGACTATGGGTATAGCTGTCTTTTTGCTGTTGTGTGGGACCCGGTTTTATCGGTATAAAAAACCAAAAGGGAGCCCTTTGAGTGTTATATGGAGAGTTGTGTTTTTAGCTTGGAAGAATAGGAGATTGTCTTACCCTAATCATCCTAGTTTATTGAATGGCTATGATTCCTCAAAAGTTCCACATACTGACAAACTCAGGTAAATAAAATTTTATATGGAAGAAGAATTTACAATCATCTATGAATTTATAAATTATATGGTGGTATATTATATATAGGTACCTTGACAAGGCTGCAATAATGGCAACAAATGAAGCAAATGAAGATTTATGGATAGTTTCAAGTGTAACTGAAGTTGAAGAAGTCAAAATGGTTATAAACCTAATCCCAATCTGGTCAACAGGGATCCTCTTCTGGACAATTTACTCTCAGATGAACACTTTCACAGTAGAACAAGCAAACATCATGAACAGAAAACATGGAAGATTCAACATCCCTCCAGGATCATTCTCCTTCTTCCTCTTCATATCCATTCTCCTATTTACCTCCCTTAACGAAAGGGTAATTGTTCCTTTTGCTAGAAGGATCACAAATTATCCAAAAGGTCTCACAAGTCTTCAAAGAATTGGAATTGGCCTTGTGTTTTCAGTAGCAGGAATGGTGGCTGCTGCCATTTGTGAGATAAGAAGGAAATCTGATATGAAAAATGGTATCAAAACGAATGCTTTTTGGTTAGTGCCTCAGTTTTTCTTGGTGGGTGCTGGTGAAGCTTTTGCTTATGTTGGTCAACTTGAGTTTTTCATCAGAGAAGTACCTGAGAAGATGAAGTCCATGAGTACAGGTCTGTTTCAAACTACTTTAGCTATGGGGTTTTTTGTGAGTAGTTTGTTGGTGTCATTGACTAACATGGCAACTCATGGGAAATGGCTCAAGAACAATTTGGATCAAGGGGAGTTGAATAACTTCTACTGGATGCTTGCAATTCTAGGAGTGTTAAACTTTTTCGGGTTTTTAATCTTGGCATCTAGACACCAGTATAAATCGCAGCATTATGAAAAGGAGATTGAAATTTGAGACAAGAAGGATTGATGAAATATAGCTATATAGAAAAAGAATCAAAGATGTAAGCATTAATGTAAAGAAAGAAGACAAATAGTGAAATAGCATATAATGTATATAGGTCATAGGATAAGAAAGTAGAAAGAAACCATTCTCTACTAAAAATATATCATGAAAATGGTACATTATGAGCTATTTCAATAACTAGAGAAAGGAGAATGATAATAATATCTTCAAGAAACAATGGAGTCTCTTTCATATCATGCATAGTTTCAAGCACTTGCAGGTGTTGGAAGGCGGTGACAATCAAAGGTGGACGAATGCACACTTTTTCTTGCTCTTGTTTGCGTTGATTTGAACATTTCTTCAGTCTCGATTACAACCAATCTTTTAACCTGTGTTCAGGACTAGATTTGTTAATTTAGAAAGTAAGAAGATGTGAGATTTTGATGAAAATGGAAGATGTTTGAAAACCTGTTGAAGCATTCCTCTGAGAGTAGGAGTATTCCATCGCATGACAGTTCTGTTGCATTTCCCAAGACGCAATGCTTCTAAGGTACGCCTGTGAAGTTTTCGTGTTCCTGGAATGCCCCTCACTAGAGTTATGTAGAGGTTGGGACTCCATGCGATTGGAGCACATGCTTTGTAAGCATTCATCTTTCTTCTTCCTACACATAAGATTTACATCATTACAACACCTAATGACCTAAATTATAACGGTATTTGTAGTAATTGTTAATTGTAGTTGTGAATTCGTTTGTTTAAACATATTGATTTTGTAGTTGCGATGTGGTTTTTCGACTCTTGATTCTACGTGAACGCACTATTGATAATCAAGGTGGCATTTCTACAAACAGTTTGGGGGCATAAGGCATTCGACCAAAAAATTGATCAGGCCTCATCATATACATTAATACATATACCCAAGATTAACACTTTATAGAGTAAGTGAGTAACTAAACAACAAACTCGTTAAATTTTAATCATGATTGAATAAGCCTTGTTTCCAACAAACAGAAATCAATTCCACCCAAAAAAAAAAAGGATAACGGATGAGGGAGTGGGGGAGGAACTTGAGAGAGCGTTGCAATAAGAAAATACAAATCGAGTCGCCGCCGACGAGAAGATCAAGACTTTTGGTGGACAGTGGTACTATGTAACGCAGCAAACAATGTATTTTGTAGTTAACTAGGGGTATCATAGAAATGAATTAATAATGAAAGGCATAATAAAAAGTAGTAGATCGTAAGAAATAAATTTGTAAAAATAATCCATAATCTATATATCTGTACAATCCTAATAAAAGACTCTTTGAAAATGTCACGTGTCCTTTCTAGAGTTTATTCTTGTCACATGACAACTTTATACACCTTGAATTTTCCCCGCCCATGTAATAATTCTTCCTTATCAAGAACTAAATTTTGAAACAATCTATCGTATCACAATTAATCATGAATCTAATGCCTTAAAATCAGGAACGAATTTAGAAACAGTCATTGAACTTCATCTTTTCTGTTTCTCGCTCAGAACACGCTCTCTCTTCACATCCTAACCTAAATTTTAATGGTGCTTTATTTTATGTTTTCGATTTTGGAATAAATTAAGCAACAATAGTTTGTTATCTCTATTACTTACATTTATTTCAACTCATATAGATGTGTAATTTTACTGTGCTCCATCGCTTATCCTTCTGGTCATAAGTCACCAAAATCCATTCCAATTTCTTCTTCGCTATTTCTTAAATCTAGGTGTTTACTGATTTAATTTCTTCAATAATTAGGTCAATCTCACAGTTTCCCCATCGCTACAGGGTCCCTCTTCAGTTTTGTTACTGTTAGATTTATAATAAATTTACTTGAAGGTAAGTAACAAAGCTCTTCTTAAACGATTTGTTAGTTGCATATTTTGATTTTATTTTTAATATGTGGAATTTGAAGTTTTCGCAGGCTTCTTATGTGCATCGATTATTCAATATATTTTAATTTGATATAATATCGAATGTAGTCCTATAAAGGAACAAGTGCAGATATGAAGATCTCTCTTTTAGCGGAAGAATCAGTTCCAGGTTACCACTATGATTCAAAGAAGTCTGATTTTTTGGCTGATAATGATTATGCTCCTCCTAACATCTCATTCATTTTAGTGTTATCTAATGTAATAAGTATAAATGTTTCATGACTTATGCCCAATTTGTTAACAAAAGTTTTTTTTTTTCTCTTTTCCCATCATTGCCTCCAAACATGACTTGTTTGTATAATTTGTATTTCTCATTTCATATATATTGCATTTGGTTGATGCATCATATAGGAGTGTGGAATAACATGTTACAAGTTCGGGAGTGGGGACTATTATACATGCATTAGTAAAGACAGCATCTTTTAATAGTATTATGCATTCATCTTTCTCACTTCTTGACTATTGGTTACTCTTACCAATGTTAGCGAATGTAGTCTAAAAAAAACCATTTATTTAAGCTTAAACTTAGGTAGGGAGGTCATACATCCTTTATGGTCTTTAGAGAGTGTTTGAGCTTCAAAGTCAATGATTATTATTACTACCTAACATGAAAACTAATTATACATGCAAATAATAAACTCCATAACTATCGGGGGTAAAATTGTCTAAACCGAGAGGGTTTGTCTATGATACAAGCCGAGATAAGTTATCTCTTCAAAATTTCATGATTTTAGTGTTTCTTTCATGATTTCAAAATTTCATGATTTTAGTGTTTCTTTCTGATACTAAAGTAAGTTCTATTTTTAACGATTTCTGGTTTCGTTTAGAAAGTTCCTCAAAGAAAATGGGAAGGAAATGAAAGATGCTATGGTGTTTGATTAATAAAAGGTGCAAGAAAGGAAAGAGGATCCTAAAGAAGTGGTTATTAGTTTTAATTGAGTTTTGGATGAATAATAATGAAAAATAATAAAAGATTGATTATTGGGAGAAGCAATAAAAGTAAAAGGTATTTTTGGTATAGGGTGCCATTTAAAAACATGAATTGTCCGAATTTTATTTATATCAGAAGAATGCAGGGTTAAAAAGGAAGGATACTTTTGGTATTTTACGAAAAATGGGTATTGATAAAATATTTGGTACTCTGAGTGCATAAAAAATTGAAATACTTGGTTCAAAACTAAAAGGCATTAAATTCGAATATGGAATAGTAGTGATAAGAGCAAATGGTGGGTTAGAAAGAAAAGAAAATGGTATTTTGGTCTTTTTTTTTTTTTTTACCTGTTTTGTAGATTTTACAAGGATTGAGGCAGCAAAAAGAAGATGGATTTCTTGCATCAACTTTTTATATAGTTCAAATTAAAATTGCTTTGTATAATTGTTGTTTTTGCAAATTGCAATAACAGATGTTCTTGCAAACACTTTTGGTGTTTTTGTTTTATTGCTTATTTAGTCCGTTGAGGACTTGTAGTGTGAGCGGGTAAGCTTCTTTTTCAATATTTATTAATTATTTAATACAATGGTTATCTAGCAAGCCTTTGATGTTCTAAGAGACGTTGGTAGATACTCTCAATACCAACACGATCGTTTGAGCGAAAAAGAATAAGTAGTTTGGTGTACGCATGCATCATATTGCATAATATGATTATAGAAGATGAGGGGAATGAGATTTTCCGTTATAATGAAAATGAGAATTTACCAAATGTTGAAGGAGTAGATATTGGTACCGCTAACGTACATGACGAACAAATGGGAAATATTACGACTGAGTTGGACACCACAACCTTCGCATTGTTTTGGTGGAACACATCTTCAATGCTAAAGTGAATCCCGTTGTCGACAATTTTGAAGACGATTTCGACAATACAGATGATGAATCAGACATGTTTGTAGATGATTCGTACGAGGATTATGATGACATGGAGAGCAACAATGATTAGGGTCACATACTATTCTACTATGTTTCGATTATGTTTTTTTTTTTTTTATGTTTTTAATTTCATGTCTTTTTTTAATTAGTGAAGCACTTTTCTTGTATTAACTTTATATAATTACATTTTATTAAGTTACGTTTTATTCAATTTAAAAAAAGAAAAATAAAAGTGTGGTATGACACCTACTAGTTTTGTGAGGTGCTGGGAAAATGATGTGTCAATGACCTGGCAGACCAATAGTTGAATATATATGACACCCACCGATCTTATCTTCAATATGTGGTTGCATATGAATAATCAATGTGATGCAGTATTTGATGCAGTATTTGTGTTTGTGGTATGAAAACATACGGTGTTATCCATGATGGATGGTGGATCGGAGTTGATGTTGATTATGTTATCAACTTTCGTATATAATCAATATATAAATTTGAGTTGATGGTGATTTCGATTGAGGAGGAGAAGAAAGTGAGAAATAAGGGATGATGATGGGTCATGAAAAAGACCACAACTCATTTTAAACCAAAACGGGCCACAATGAAGCGAATACATGAATGTTTCAAAGGCATTTATTATTTTAGTATAACCAAAATCTTTTACTCTTTATGAAGCCCACTTTTGTGTTTATCCAAGGCCGAAATTAAATACGTTGTTATAATAGGCGTGAAAAGAGCATTCTCAGACCTTCAGATAATCATGTGTATTGATCAAAAGGGGTGTAACTTGTAAGCATAAAGTGTAGTCCTGCTGACACCTATCAAAAAATAAAATTACACGCACAACGACAAAACCATTTGAGGTTTTATTGTTTATTTAACATAATGTATATACCTATTTATATATTAAATACGTGTAGTATCATACTTTATAGATCTTGAAGTATGTTTAGATCTTAGACCAAACGACAACGAAAAAGAATGAAGAATATATATCTATATAATATATATATAATATATATATATATATATATATATATACTATAATATATATATGAACATATGTTTCTTACAACCATCTAATTATTACAATTATTTAAAAAAAAAAGTGTGATTATTTACAATTATTTAATCAGTCACTTGAAAAACTTTATTTTAAGTGTAATTTATTTAATCATATTGTTATAATTCATGTGAATGCTTATTATTCCATATATGCAACTTAAGCAAGGTCTTTCCCCAATATAGTTGCCGGGAGGATCATAGTTACATGTCACGAACCATGCACCATTATTGCATTGAACCCTTGCACAACCAAGACGAACCGAATTGTTCCAAATTACTTGAGTATAATGCCCACACACCTGTTCCGGAGCACAAATGTTCAAATTAAAATCATAATCTGCCTTCTCGCTAACCCACAGGTTCACAACATCTACACCGGTCAAGTCAAACCCTGACCAGAGGCAAGATTTTCGCCGTAGGTATTGTTTTGGGGGTGCACCAACCGACAATCAACACGTCTTTGATTGGCATAGTTTTGTGCAAAACTGGCCACACGGCGATCCTATGTCAGGGGCCCTACACCAACC